CCCCCGCAGCCTGCCGCTGCTGCCGGGCCGGGCGGGGCGACACGAGGTGCCCGGGGCAGGACTGTAGGGACCCCCTGGAAGAGGGAAACAGGACTATGGGGACCCCCTTCTATTGCTTTGAGCATTGAGAAGAGCCCATGCGCCCGCCCTGCTGCAGGGTCTCAGGAGCCCTGGGGAGAGGCGGAGGCGGAGGCGGAGGGGTTGGTGCATCCTCTCTCCTGTTCAACCGCTGCCCAGGCACCAGTTTGCCCGGTAGCCTAAATGTCGCGCGCCTCCCCCAGGAAAATAACCCGCGCCTCTTACAGCCATAGGAAATGGGGCGGGGGAAGGACCCACGTCTAATCCAGGTCACAGCCAGTCCAAGCAGGTCCGGCCCCAACTACATCACCCCAGCCTGGACTTTGTCAAAACCTCCAAGCATGGAGACTCCCCCACCTCTGTAGGTGGCCTGCTGGGACGTGCTGTCCCCACGGCTAGTCTCCTTCCAACTCGGGACGGGCCAGGCACCTGCAGCTCTCCATGCGAGGGGGCAGAGCCGCTGGCTGCGAGCCCGCCCCCCCGCCTAATGAAGCGCCGTGTCGCAAGCCAAGTGCAAAGGAAGGGGGGCGGAGGGCCGGGGGCGCCCGCAGGCAGCCGAAATAGCTCAGTTGGGAGAGCGTTAGACTGAAGATCTAAAGGTCCCTGGTTCGATCCCGGGTTTCGGCAGCTGTTTTTTCTAGCGCCTGGCTTTTAAAGCTAATTCAAGTGAGGTCACTTGCTCGTGAATTAGGAGTTTTAGTGCACTCCTTGGAGCATTTAATAAGAGCAAATTAGAGATGTATTTGGTAGCTGTGAGGGTCAGAGACAAAAAGAAATGCAAAATCTGCAACTTGTGGTTCAGAGATTGCGAGGCTGGAAAGGGACCTTGGAAGATGGAGTCCAGCCACAATATTCAGAGAGAACTTTTCTTAGACCAACTAAGAAATCGCAATAAAAATATCTATCTATCTATATATATATCTCTATCTCAATCATGGGCCCAGGGGGACAGATTTCCATCTTCAGCTTCCTCGGTGCACAAATGAAATGTATTTCCTACCGACGGCGACTTTTTACCATCTTTAACTGTCCCTGAGCCTGAGGAAGGGCGCGTGAGACTAAAAGCTTGCAGAAAAAGATCTTTTGTTTGCGATTTCTCAGTTGGTCTAATAAAAGGTATCGCCTCTGAACCAAGAGCTGGAGAGTTTTGCATTTTTTGGGCTACTTAGTTCGCTCGCTTATGAATAAGAGTACCGCTGGTTTCAACCTCAACGGCAGAGCCGGCGTTTCTGAGCGTGACATGCCCGTGCAGACAGGCAAGTGGTGGTACCTTCCTGCCAAACTCTCCTTTCCCTGCAGGGGTTCGATTGCCCCGTTCCACAGAGCGGTTGAGTTTTATGCAACAGCCAGAGATTGATTTCCCAAAACCCTTTGGTCTCTGGACCTGTAACAGCTAAAAGCAGGTGAAAGGGGGTATCTATCTGTGCCACCCCTGGGGCCGTTTGGCATTTTAGAAGGACCAGGATTGCTGCCAAGTGTGACTGAAGGCAGGAGTCGCCTCGTGGGCAGATTTTTAGGTCTATATTCAGTGTCACTGGGTGGAAGATGCAGTCTCGCACCAATTTAGTGAAATGTAGCTATGCAATTTTGTGCATTGCATTTATTCAAAACAAGGGACTTGTACTGGGTGAGCCGACATGGGTAAATCATAGAATCATAGAAGTCGGGTCAGAAGGAACCTTGTAGATCTTCAAGTCCGATCCCCTGCCTGGGCAGGAGGGAAACTGGGCTCAAATGACCCCAGCCAGGTAGGCATCGAGCCGCTTCTTAAAGACCCCCAGGGTAGGAGCCAGCACCACTTTCCTTGGAAGTTGGTTCCAGATCCTAGCCGCCCTGACAGTGAAGTAGTTCCTACGGCTGTCTAATCTGAACCTACTCTCCAACAACTTGTGGCCGTTATTGCTTGTTATCCCGGGGGGGGGTGCTAGGGGAAACAAGGTCTCCCCTAAACCCTTCTGGTCCCCCCTAGTGAGTTTATAGATGGTCACCAGGTCCCCCCTCAGCCTTCTCTTGTGAAGGCTGAACAGGTTCAGGTCCCGTAGCCTCTCCTCGTAGGGCCTGCCCTGCTGCCCCCAGATCATGCGGGTGGCCTCCTCTGGACCCTCTCAACATTGTCCACATCCCTCTTGAAGTGCGGCGCCCAGAACTGGACACAGTACTCCAGCTGCGGCCTGACCAGTGTCGCATAGAGGGGGGGAATCACCTCCTTGGCCCTACTTGAGATGCCCCTGTGGATGCACGATAGGGTCCGGTTAGCCCTGCCGACCGTGACCTCACGTTGGCAGCCTATGTTCATCTTGGAGTCAATGATGCAAATCAAAGAGCACGCAGGAGTTTTTGCCGGTTGAAAAACCAATTGTAGGTAACTGGATGCAGCCTTTGTGTTTAGGCAGAGTCCTGATTGGTCTGGTGCACAGTTCAGCTGAGGCCTTTCAGGAAGTCTGAGGGCCCTGTTATCCGTTACACATATTACACAACTAGTAGGTCAACTGTACAACAAGCTTAGACCATCCACAGAGCAAAAGTACTTGGCACACTGTAAAAATGACTCTCCAGCTTGAATTTCAACATGGGGCAGGGCCCCGATACAGCACAGCGCACGACTGCGGCTCGTACATAACTGAATATGCAGCAGAACGCATTTGTTATTCTGACCAAGTTACTCGTTCAGAATCCGGGTAGGACTCTGCTCTTTATTAAAAACTGTAACACAGAAGTGTTTGTTTGTATTCACCCAGTTATCCAGACAAAAAGTATTTGCTCACAGACAGAGCTGTGACAGCTGGAATTATGTCTGTGATACAGGTGCTTGCTGAAAGCCCTATGAAGATTAGACCAAGTGTTTTGCTATATTTGTTTAGATATTAAGCTGTATGTTGTTGCTAAGAGTCTAATTAAACTTTAAGACATAGTGAGGCCTTGTATAAAGTAAGGCCTAGTAAATTTAGCAAAGCCTTGAAGTAGTAAGGCCCTGTGGTATAGTTAAAATTACCTTATCAAAGGAATGCAAGGCTTGTACTGCTAATTTGGCCTTAGACTGATTGCTATAGTAAAAGGAATCTGAGTGGTCGTACGTTATCAGAACCATTCGGAAGCTTTAAATTGGCTGGAATATCTGGAAACCATTCAGATGGAAGATACAGCTCTGTAAAGAAGGATTAGTTAGCTGTTGCCTGGATCAGTGGGCCCGTGGACCTCGAGGAGCCCAAGGACTGCGTTCCAGGTCCTTCCCGGTACCCCTCGGACAGTGCTGTTCAGGGACGCCTGATTTCGCTGAACTTTGTGGAAAGAGAAGCTTGCTGCGTATCAGGCATCAGAGGGGACTGCCGATAAGTTGCCGACGCGAATCGCTTTTGTCTGTCGTTGTTTGTCTTGTTACTACGCGTAGTTGTGTTTTTGTTAAGTCAATAAATATCTCTTACCTTTCTACCCCCCGACCACACTCTCAATCCCGAACCCTCCGCAGGCGGCTGGGACATAGGAGCAAACAGCATTTGACATACCTCCCCAAGAGAGTCAACCCATCTCTCACAAAACAAAATTCAGTTGAAAGGAAGTCTTGGTTTGAAGACTGAAAGCCATGGGTCAAGTCCATTTTATTTTAAAAGAATGTATTCAAACAAGAGTAGATGTAATGAGCACCCTTGAAGAATTCATACCTTATACATATCGGCTTAGGTAGATCCAAGAAACTGTAGATATGTACCATATCATTTAAAAAGGTAACTACTGTACATAATGGTAACACAAAGTCAATACTGTTACATTAGCCAACTTGGAGGTATTTTTAAGTTTAATACAAACTCAGCATGATTAGATAATGTAGTTTTAAAATGTATCCGTAAATTCCCTATACTTTTCCTACATTTAAAGTTATTCTTATACCAATAATAATAATTTTTAAAAAAAATCTGTGAATCAAACTCTGCTTTTTTATATATGTATGTTCAAAAGCTGTTGATGTCAGATAAAAATATGGGTATTATTTTTTGATAAGTTAAGGCCAAACCTTGCCATAAGTTCTAGGTACTGTTTTACTTCTTAATAAAACTAAAGATCTTAACGTTTGAACACATTCAGGATTAAGATGTGTTTAGGCACAAGCCAAAAATATGAAAAGCTCCCACATGTTCTACTCTAGTTAAAAAGACCATTACATGACCAAGTGCAATTACAGTGAGAAATGGTAAGGGAAAAATCCTACTAGTAGGAGATTAGAAGAGGGGGAAAAAAAGAAACAAAGGGAAGGCTGAGCTGCCATATATAAAATAGGGCATAATGGTTTTGGGAGTAATGTTTCTTTAACTACAACTTGGGGAAAAACATGAGATCTCTCTGAATTTCAATGACAGCGGGTATTTTAGGGGAGTACCATAAACACTGTGGTGAGATCAAGAAGTCCACATACATTGCGTTACAGGGTTAAAGGCCAATGAAACCACATGGCTATTTAAAGGGTTCTTTCTTTTTTTAAAATGCAAGAAGAGATCTGCACGGTGTCTTGCCAATGCCTGTGAGAGCAGGGGCTGCAGAGGGATTAGTTTTTTTTACGAACGTGAAGCTCGTTTAAGGAGACAGCCCACGGTCCACAAAGTCTCTCTACTGTCTGCTAAAGCAGCTTTCAAGGCATTTCCATAGCTGAAGGTACATTTATGTGACTGGCTTGGCATTAAAGAGAGCCAACACAACGATCAAGTATTTATAAACTGCATTATCCCTTACTATTTTTCCTTCACTAAGGTTTCTGAATAAGGGATGACGTTTTAAGCGAC